CGGGAAACATCCTGCTGGCCATAAAACCTGCACTCGTTTTCATCTCTGACCGTTTTCTACAAAAGAACGATACCAAATTATGCCGCCAAGAAACTTCCGCTGATAGATTTTCATCAGAAAAGTTCTGACTGAAACGACAAAAACAAAAAAAATCATGCTGAAAACGAGGAGCGCAGGTTTAACAAAAAATTAATACCGCAAAACGGATGCCCCTAAAAAAATTCAGGAACATATTTAGCTTAGAAGGAGAAAAGCAACTGTTTGTTTTTGTGGTGGAATAAAAATTCAGATTCAAGCAATTCAAACTCGCACTCAAATCAATCGTGAAAAATCATAACAAACTCTTTGAGTGATTTTTAGCTCACGATTTTGAGACAGTGAAAACAGCAGCATCTATTAAAAATATTCGATAAATTGTGTAGATGGAGTTGGACTACTAATTATAGATTGTTCCCGCAAAGTAGAGTCTTCATGCATATTTGCTCTACGAATACTGCATCATGAAAACAGAGCAGAAGAACGAAACAACGTTTCGTGCAAAACGACAACTTCTTCTCAAATAGTCAGACAACTACTATCGGAGTCATAGTACACGATCTTCAAGCAAATCTGACACTTAAAGACACCCTTAGAGCAGGAAAAGGTTTTCGATGCAACGTTCATACGCTGAATAGTATTTCAAGAAGGAAGCCAAATCATTGGCAACATCAGAAGGCATTAACTACTGAGGATTCTGAAAGTTCATGCAACTGGGATTCAAATGAGAAGTGGGCGATGTTTCTCAAAAAATTGGACTCAAATCAAAGACCAATGAAACATTTCGGCTGCTGTCGACAATGGAGACTTGCTCAAATAATGATGAAAAACTACTCTGACAGTCAAAATTATTTGTCAGCAGTTTTTGCCAGATTTGGAGAACCGAAAAGTTTACTCTTTGACAACGAACGCAAGGTGTTTCAAAATGATCTCATAGACCATCGTAAAACTCAAGTCATGAGAATTATGTAATCTCCGATAAATCACTCACGAGCATTTTTCAGGCAGAAGCAGAAGTCTAAACAATCGTTTAAGACATGAAAATGAAAATATTTTGGTCAATTCAAAAGGCCAGGGACGCAGTGAAATGAAGAATAGGCCCGGTGGGTTGACCTCCGTAGATAAAAACTGCTAATCTTACAATTCCATAAACTAAATCTATGAAAAAATACTCCACGAACAAAGTTTATACATTTTGCCAAAATGGGATCATCGAATTTTTCAGGAACTTTTTTGCTGTTTTGGCATAAAGTTCGGTCTATCATAGTAATTCAAAAAGAAAAGCTTTTGTCAAAGAATTGGTAATCAGACAATTTCCAAAAACGGAAAATGTATGATAGCTTTTTTTGATGCACCAACTGATTTTTTCTTTTGTTATCAACCGTAAAACAAAATTTGTACTCAAACAAACAATTCGTTATAATATTCACCAAAGACAGGCTAAAGAACTTTCAGGACGTTTTCAAAGCAAAATTAATGCGACGCGGTAAAACCTCTGTTTACTCTACGTTTTTGCTTACATTCTTTTTTCTCGAATAGTTACTCAATTTTATTCACAGCTCCCGTGCTATATTTGACCAATGATTTGAAAAAAAAAGAAAATACTAAAAAAGAAAACCAAACCTGAAACAACTTTTGGCCCCAATAGACATCTCCTTCATTTTATAAGATTTTCGAGTGATAGTGACAGAAAACATGAAACTCTTCTGAGACAAATTATCATTCTCAACTAACGTTTTTGTCACTTCTGTCCAGTTATGAAGACAACCAAAAGATTTTCAGAAACTAAAATATAATATAACAATATTTTTGGTCTATGGAAAAACGCTAGTAATGAAAAATATATGAAAAATCACTAATCATAGACCTTTCAAACAATTTTCTGTAATTGCATTAAAAGTGTATGATTAGCAATTTTGGTCAACCTGGGAGAATACGACGAAAAAAAAAACTACTATAGAAAAGGTGACTGGACGGAAAATCAAGTTGGCGATAATCATAAAAGTTTCGATCAAACTAAAAAAAAGCACCAGGGATTGAACAGATTCGTTGCCAAAAAACTGATCGAACTGAAATTATCCAGGCTGCGATGACTAGTCATGATATCACAAAAATGGGAAAAAAGATAAAACGGATATTACAGGATGTTTTAAAAATCCACAAAACATGTTCGCAAAAAACGATCTTCACAGTTACTGATGTTAAATCTGGGGTGGAAAACTCCAAATGATCATCGAGTCTGGAAAACTCAAATAAAAGGAGGGCTGGTTAAATGATATAAAATTTCATCCAAAAGGAAACTCTTAGTTGTAATTCAGATGACGCACGTTATTGCTGACGGCTGCCATAACAAGGGTAAGTTAAAACGGTACGGTTGAAGATTAAGTTCAACTTGTTTCTAGTTCGCATAATTAGGACTCTGAACTAGAGGTCAACAAATAGGCAGACTAGACAAACCTAGACTGACTGACAGTCAGGTACCAATTTCCCACTTAATAGTAATATGAGAAACTCTCAAGGATATAAATAATAGTAGGTAGCAACTAAATTGATTGACATCTAAACATGTAGCCCCTCACAGTTGATCTGATGCGATTTTAAAAGCTGTCTTTCTTTAACTCTTTCATATTTACTCAACTGTCCAGATGGGTCAGCCATTCATTTTTCTCGAATAACTACTCAATTTTATTCACAGCTCCCATGCTATATTTGACCAATGATTTGAAAAAAAAAGAAAATACTAAAAAAGAAAACCAAACCTGAAACAACTTTCGGGCCCTATAGACATCTCTTCATTTTGTAAGATTTTCGAGTGATAGTGACAAAAAACATGGAACTCTTCTGAGACAAATTCTCATTCTCAATGATGCCAATCCTAATCGTCATGGTACAAGTCTTACTCTTCACTTATCCACAAGTTTGTTGCTAACGTTTCTTTTCTAAAATGTGATATTCGCACAATTCAGATGAAAAAGAAATAAGTTTTACTAGAACACTTCAAAATCAACATTTATCTCTGAGAAAGGATACTCTTCTATCTGGACAGGTTGTTAGAATTCAAATTTTGTTGATTCATGATTCAACGAAAAAAAATGTTACCGACGAATATTTTTTGGACACCTATGGAAAAAGATAGAGCAGATGAAACCGCAAGAGACCAGAGAAATTAGATACACTTGCATGTACTTAAGTTGCATAACTCGTGTTAAAAAAGAACTTTTTCAAGTAAACATTTTTGGAGACTTTTTCAGTCGCAAAACTCTTCTAGGCGCAAATAAACTAGTTTCGAAAAAAAATACTACAAGCTAAATTTGAGTTTTTATATTCAAGCACATTTCTGAACAAAAAAAACAAAGATCAGAGTGTGGTTTGTGTGAACCAGAATTAGTCATTTTGTTTTAAATAGAAAGCTAGTATCAAAAGTCACAAAACTTACACGTTTGAAAAGAAGGCGTTTTATACGTGCTCAACAAAATGCAAAGTAGTGTTAAAAATTACAAAGGCGTTATAGTAGAACAGTAATGTACACGGTGATTCTTAAGATGCAGTAGTTTGGTGGGATTATTGCTTCTGAATCTGTTGATTTTCGCACCTGCGAAATTTTTCAGTTATTGCATAGGGAAGCGAACACAAAAGCTTACAGCCAAACTCAAAAAGTTTATTGTTTTTAAAATAAATACGAAATGCTTATCACTCAGTTTCATACAGAGAAAAAAATTCAACTATTTTTACACTGCGAAAAAATGCTAGTCGTAGAATTATCAGACATTTTCTGGAGGTGTGAAATACTAACTGAACAAGTGTGAAATTGTGCGAATGGCGTTTTTGCAACAAGGGCAGTTGATTTAAAAAAATTAAAAAAACAATCTGAATCACCTGAAAATTATATGGTTAACAAATATAAAACACAAGAAAGAGCTGTTTTGTTACAAATTTGAGGAAAAAATGAGCTTTTTGAAGAAAACCTGAAACATTTTTTGAAAAAGGAAAAAATGAAAACTTTTACCAATTTTGTTCTCATTTCTTAAAAAATACCATGAAAAAAAACATATATTTAGGAGAAAAAATTGAATTACTCTCAAAGTTTTACACAAATCACAGAGACCTTCGTTTGCTCAATAATAGAGTCAACAAAGGTTTGACTGTCTTGCATTTGAACGCTCAGAACTTTCTTAGATTTTTTTCACAGTTGATTTCAAAAAGTAACAGATTTTAAAAACTCTGGCAAAGTTTTTCAGAGATGGTTATTATAAAAAGTTTGGATCAAAACATCAAGTTAATCGTAAACATGCAAAAAAAAAACGGCGTTTTGGGCGTTTTTGAGAAACTAAATTTTGCATGCTAAAGGGTGTATCAGATGAACATTCCTTTTGCAGTTCAAAAAACCTTCTTTGTTTTGCAGCAATTTGTAAATTATTTGAAAATATTTTTGTGGGCTTCATAGAATGCTGGTCATAATTTTTTCCCATATATGGAAATTCTGTTTTTTTGACAAAGTTTTTTAAATTTTATTAATGACGATACACTGACCAAACATGAAAAGCGTTCTTTGAAAACTCGATGTACTTTTCAGCAAAATGGAAGAATTTTTTATGATCAGAATTCTTTCATTGATTAGCGTTTTTGGTCGAATAGAGGTCAACCCTAAAAAGGTGCATATGAGGAGCTGCGAGGAGGGCTCTTAAATTTTTTCCTTTAACTCTCTTCCTTTTGTCTTCTGATGTAATTTAATTAAAGTATTTTTTCGTCAAAGTAAATTATCACCTATTCTGAATTGTTTCCAGACAGTTTTGATTTGACAATTTGGTGAATATCTTAGAAAACAATCGATAAAATTATTTTTATTTGCAAATGATATATCCAAGCGAGATAAAACTATGATTTTTATCCAGTTAGTAGCTTCTAATACAGTTTTTCTAGTAACTATACAAATTTACAATTTCCATATTATTCACACAGATTGGTTAATTTAGAAAAAAGTCGATAGATAGGTCATTAGCCATGAAGTTCTTCATTTCTTTTATCTCACACGCCTTTTGGAAGAGCTTTTTCTTTTCGTTCTCGATCTGAATTTTGTTATCCTTCAGGCTCCGAGAAAATGCAGACAGCTCGCTTGCAGACATATTTCCAATATTTTTTTGTTTACTTTTGAGATCATTCGACATGCTTATCAGCCTGTTTTGAATCACGCGGATTTCCTCGATTGCTGAGGTATGAATTGCAGATATCATCATGTCCGTTTCTTTCCTGACATTGGTCCGCATTTCTTGAATATCGACTGGCCGGACATTATGGCCTTTGTGATTTTCGATCCAGTCTGAGTTACCAGTCAGCAGTCTGTCGCAGTCGGAGCAGATCAAGTTGATATCAGAGTTTGACCCGGATGCCGAGGTGTTTGGGGTATTTTTCATCTCCTAAATTACACATGGAGAAGAAAGGTGCTCTTTTTTAATACAAAAATTGAAGAAAACTTGATTTGTAGGTTGAGTTTGAGAAATTTGATGTCAAAAAGTTGCTAAAATCTAATTTGATTCAATTGCCAAACAAATCTGGATAATATTTTTAATGCTATTTTTAACGAAAACTGAGGCTGGACAAACAGATAAAAATAAAACATCATTTAATATTGCAAAAATTTGTTCATCGTACCACGAGAATTTCAGATAAGCTATACGAGCAGAATGAATGCCTCGATGAAAGAGAGTATAAAAGAAAACAAAAACGGAATATATAATTGCAATAACAAGCCAAAAAAGCAGTATGTCGGTTGACCGACAGGACATCAGTTCTTTTTTGTACGAACTCTGCCTCTAATGAAAAACCATTGTTTGATAACTATCTTTTTTGATTATGGGCGATTAAAAAAAACAGATTAATAGGATGCACGATACCAAGTAATTGTTAAAAATAAGTGGAAAAATTATTGTTCTGAAAAAACAGCAGGAAACGTTTTTTGAAATTCTTGAAATAGGAAATGATTGTTGCAGATTATCTTAAAAACACTGGTAATTAAAACGAAAAGATACGATGATTTACTCATATTCGTTTCTTTGGATACTTGCTAAACCTCCCCACACTCAGTAAAAAGAGAAAATAAACGATTATATTATAATTACAATCGTACTTTTAACAAAATTATAATCAATTATAATCACCAATAAATGATGTTTAAACGATTTGTAATCCATGATAATGGTGAAATTTTAAAAAAATATATAATCGATTATAATTGACTATAGTTTTTCCAAAAACCTCTCACATTCTCTTATTAAATATTATATAATAGGTTAAAATCCTTTTTCTATCAAAATTTTATCTTACAAAAAATAATCAATTAAAATGGGTTAAAATTTAGCTACTTTGCATGAAAACATAGTAAAAATTAAATTGATTCAAATTTAAGCTATAAAATCGAAATATCAGCTTTTTTAGTTCGGTAAACAAATAAAAAGCACCCAAAACAAAACAAAAATAAAACGAAATGAAGCGAGGACGTTTGTTGAAAAACCAATAGCCAACTGAAAAGCACTTAAAATGAAACTAAAATAAGACGAAATGAAGGGATGACAATTTTTGAACAAAAATGGATTATAATCCATTATAAAGGATTATAATTCCTTAAATTTTGACAAAAAAAAACTTTCAAAAAATGATCCATTTTTAATCGATTATAATCAATTCTTTTAGAAAATTATGGAGACTACAAAAAAAATTTCTTATAATCTATCATTTTCTCTTTTTACTGAGTGCGGGTCACGATAAAAAAAAATAGTGTATAGAAACGGGAACTACAATTATGTGGAAAAATGCAGAGTTCAGAAGCGGTATAAAAAAGAAGCTAAATATGGTAATCAAAAACATTCGCAGAGCTTTAGATCTGAAATTAAACTACCATAATCCGATCTGAAGAAACTCGACGATTTTTGTGAATTAAATAATTTGAAAATGTATGAAGTACATATGAATTTGAATGAAGTTGTTTGTATCTCCCTGAGATAATGGGAGAGGAGAGAATAAGAATTTTATCGAAATTCAAATTTTAGATTCAGGAAACGGGACTGTAATTAAATAGAGCTGAAACATTTTTGCTAAATTCAGCTAATCATGAAGCTCCGAACAAAACAAAAAGTATGACCTTCCGTTTAACTAAGAGAGAAATTTCAATTAAGCTAACTGATTTTATAGCTACTACTGTAACAATACGAGGCGAGTTTGAGCAAGTTGTGAATTGTAAGCGGATTCCGAAACAGGCCAAAACAGATTTGCCGCCGATCCGCATATTTGCTGTTTTCATTGATCTTCTCTGCTGTATTGGATACCCCGGGCAATAAATTACTATTGTGCTCAAAATCGCTCCGAAAACCGGCAATCGCTCCGAGTCCAGAGAAATCTGTGGAATCCACAAACAAGTAATTTTATGTGTTTAGTAAACTTAAGCTATCGCGGAATCCGCAACTGTCAGTGGAATGCGTATTTGAAAGCAAATCCGCAAATTGTAAGCGGATTCGGCAAATTTTAAGAGGGTTTCTCAAATTGTAAGCGAAATCCGCATAAAATTGCGTAATCCACTTAAATTTGCGAAATCCATAACAGGTTCTTATATTGTCAGAATCTAATATGCCGACAAAACCAATGTGATGACAAAGCTTTCATTATACTTATTTTTACACGGAATCCACGGAAATTATGTTTTGTAACATGTTTAATTTGTGTTGTAACTTTTTTTTTCTACATTTATCTCTGGAACCAGGAACTTACAGACACAAAAATGTGCGCCTATCCAGTGCACAGTTTGACCTCGGAGCTATGAACAAGAAAAGTGCAATGTTTCCCCTCGCGTTCTTCCTTAGTTCAACAGTCGAGTTTTTTTTCTGATATAGAATTTTGAATTATTTTGTTGAAAGTTCAAGCGAATGTATCAAAAAAAAATTTCTGTAGAGTTTTACATGCACTAAAATGGAAATGGTTTTCTTCAGATGACTTTTTATTTATCACTTCTTTTATCATCTTTTTTAATATCACCCAAGTTTGTCATTACTCGTTATTATCCAGATATTATCTTCATGAATCGTATTCCCTTTTGATCAAATGCTATAGTGCTGACTGAAACCGCAAAAAAACAACAATTTAAAACTGTGAGTCTTGAAGTTTGACGAGATTGAGTAGTTATAAAACAAAAAGAATGGTTACAAAAACTGCAAAACCTCATCAATCGACTGAACTATTAAAACAGGCATGCATGAGCAAGCAAGCAAATTGTGAAAATTTTGTCGTTCATTTCGAAAATTGAAAAAATATAGCTTGGAAATTTTAACAATTATGATGTGTTTTATGACTTAAAACTGAAAAAGCATCCAAAGTTCATAACCACGGAAGGACCTGCACGCTATTCATAAGTTTTCACAAATATAGCTGATAAAAAAACGCTAGTCATACAGTTTCATCATATAAAAATTGTATGACTAGCATTTTTGCTTTAGAAGGAAAATTAGTTTTTTCTCCATCAACAAAAAAATTTTAGGTGGAGTTTCTCTAGGAAATCGCGATTAGTGGAAATTTTTTTTTTCAAGATGGAAAAAATTGATTTCGTTGACAAAAAAAACTGAAAGTTTGATGAAACATGATTACGTCATAAATTGCTTGTTATACAACTTTATACTACCAAATTTGTTTGAATGGTTTTTGTTTCAGACAGAAAGTTTAAAATTAAGGATAAAATGTTATTTAGTTCTTTTTCAGTCGCAGAAAATTTCTAGGTGCAAACAAACAAAATTGGAAAAAAAACTTACCTGAAAGATTGAATTGTTCGTCTATACCATAGTCTAGGCTTCGATCGTCTATAAATTTGTTTTTTTTTGTTTTGTAGTCAGCTATATCCAAGTTTTTTCAAAACAAAATAGGCTGTGATTTACAAACACTCAAAAATTAGAAAAAAAAGAGTTTTTTTTAACCTATAATTCCATTAAGAGGCCAAACTGTGCACTGGATAGTCGCACAGTTTGGTTTTTGTATAACCCTGGCTTCCTATCGATTATCACTGTAATGTCATCCGTTTTTTACTGGTTATTAATTTATTAAATTTTACAATAGAAAGCCTGTAGATTCATTGCTTTTTGATTATTACTTTTATCAAACTTGATTGCGTTTTAACTTCTTACAGTTTTTTTTTTCAAAAACCCACAGCATTTCAAGTTGAACAACTACATAAAATTCTGCTTTAAGTTATTACAATTAATTAGAAATCAAAAAATCAAAAGACAATTTGAATCAGGGGCGGATTTAGGGGGGGTGTTTGGGCTACGCTCCTCTCTCAATGATTCGACCCCCTGCCGACCCAAAGGGTCCCCCCTTTGATACTTTTTCAAAAATCCATTTTTGGCCGAACGACCCTAAACTGTTTCTAAAGGCGCCTTCGGCGCCAATATATACTAACTTTGAGGGGGAGCGCGCGCCAAAAATAACGCAATTTTTTGTCAACATTTTTCAAAAAGTGCCCAAAAACTGCTTTTTTAACTGTTTTTTCAAAATTTGCCTGCCGCGCAGAAAATTTAGCCTAAATTGGGGCAAAACAGTGCTTTGGGAGAGCTCGAAAAATCAATTTGGTCGACCTAAAAAAAAGGTCGTCAAAATTTTGGAAAATTTTTTGAAAATCCGCCCCCCCTCGAGAAAATCATAGATCCGCCCCTGGTTTGAATCCTTTTCTCTCAAGCTTCAATAACTAACGCAAAGGATGACGAGGAAAATGTTTGCCTCGGATTTTACCAAACTTTTATTGTAGAATTGACCTTATGAAAATCTGAACGAAATGACAGCTTAAAATTAGCTGAATCTGAGCCAAAATCTTTACCAGAAAATCTGTTTTAAGTTACATCCTTAACAAGAACTAAAGCGAGTTGAGTGGTATCACCAAAAATTTAAATCAAAACAATCGACTACTTTCGTGACTTCAAATTGTTTCCTAGTTTCGTTTGTCAATAGCACAAAAAGTTTTCAAAAACTACGAAAGACACTTTATAAATCTGACAAAACCTTCAAGGCAACGCCTTGTTGTCAAATGTTTGTCAATAAATTCCTGAAATGCCACTTGGAACTGTTTCTCTGATAAAAAACTTTCTTACATTATTCGCCACAAAAAACTTTGAGATATGTTAAATTCAAAAAGCTGCTTCATGACTTTATCATAAACGGGGAGTAGTAGATGTTGGAGCTGATCAGGGGGGGGGGGGGGGGGTGCCTGCTGACCCCCATGTATTAAGTTAGGGAATAGAGCATCCGGTCAGCAGGCTATGTATTAAGGTTGGGTATAGAGTCTACAATGTATTAAGATAGGGAATACCGATGGTAAGGTTTTATGGTTTGTGTGATGGTAAGATAATGGTAAGAAAAGCGTAATTTTTTGGTTTTTGTCTAGTTT